GATTTGTTGTCTACAGATACCGCGCTTTTCAAACATAATAAAAAGCATTTTGATCATTAAAAAAAATAAATAATTAAAAATTTTTTTTTTTTTTTAAATTAATTGTGTTTGGAAATTCGAGTCCGTACAGATATTAAATTAGCGAAAACTTGTACAAAAATCTTCATATTTTTTTGTCTTGCAAAATTTGGCCGTCTTGTGTCTTTTTTTAAATGACACCTCTAGCTTTTCATTGCAATCTGAACCGCCGATTAATCGTGTGGTGGTTTCTGTAACACACTAATTCCTCCGACAATAAGGGCACTTGTTTCTTTTCACTTTCGTTTAGCCGCTATAAGCTCTTTTCTGCTCTTGTGTGGTTGCTTTTGAAGGCCGTGTGTTAAGTGAATAATCGGGCAGGTGCCGCTCATGGAGGGGCAGATGAAGAAAGACTGGGGGCTGGGAGGGGGGCAAATGCAGATAGGTAAAGAATGACATGTTCAAAGTGTCTTTTGTTTGGGGCTGATGCTTTAACTGCGCATTTGAAGAAAATTCTGATGCAGAAAGCAACATTACGAATGATATTTCCTGTAATATCCAGATGGCTATTCTTTTGTTCTTTCGTGGATATAGTCCTATTCGTTGGATTCTACCCCCTTGCCTTGATATTGTAATTTGCTTGTTTATTATTAATTCTAGTATTGATTAAATGAAGAATGATACAAATGTAGGGTCAAAATTAGATTCGAACAATTCGATTTGAATACATCAGCATTCTAAAATGTACACAAAGAGAAAGTGAGATATAAGAAATACTATGAATTCATTTGGCCTTGCATCTGCTGTTGGAGTATTGAGTTCTTACCATTGCAGTAGGTGCTGGGGGTGCAGCAATTATTGTGACAAATTTTGACACTCTTCATGTGTGGTCTTTAAAAATGGCCTGGTCAAAGCAGAAAATGGCCCCGCGCGTTCTGATCACAAGCTCAATGCGCCAGCAGTTCTCTCGGACTTCATTAATGCGACTCCAGATTAATATATATTATATTATATTATATGATATTATATATATGTTATTGTTGTTTAAACAATGTCCTATTATTGATTTCGTTGCCGTCTCTGCCGTGGTATCAGGTTATAGATCACAATGTTTATTAATTCGTTTTATGCTTTTGATGCTGTGTCAATTTCACCGGTTTCCAGAGTAAATTGCACTCCTCTGTTTATTCTTCTCTCGGGAATGTCCAGCCGTCTAGCTAATTTTCAGAATACGGATTAAAAAACGCCTATTTTCTCGATTAACATTAGTTAAAGATGGGCTCATACTGATATGAATCAATGCAACAACTTGTACCGCACATTTGACGAGTGTTACACAAATATAAATGTAAAATATCTGATTTTTTCCCTAAAAAATATTCCGAACACAACTCTTGGGAAGGAAGAAAAGAAGAAGCCGCGTTGTTCTGTCTCTGTCTCCGACATGCAGCTGTGGAGCAGAGAGGGTCAGCGTTATTTCACTCTATTCTCCTCTTGATTACGCGCCGGGGCCCATCAAACCAGACATAATTACAGTCATTCCCTCCTTACTTATTCTAATGCAGCTTCCCATCTACGGCATAATTACGAGCAATTTTTTTTCGCACGTGGAATCTTTTGTTAACAAAAGAGATAGCGCACTGAAAGAAAATTTGCTTTGCGATGGGGGAAAAAAGAAAAGGAAAAAAAGAGAGAGTGAAATAGGTGCGCAGCGGTAGTTATAAGTAAGGCTGGCAAATTGCTTGCAGGTGTATACCGAGAGATTTGTCAATGGGAAGAGGGATCAAAATGAGCAAAAGCACAATGTCGGAGTGATGAAGGCAGAGGTGAAATTATAGAACAAGGGCTGCTTTATTTTCGACTGGATTCTATAGACAAACTATCTCGCAATTTCAGACAGCTTTATTAATGAGGTACACCGCGTTAGTCTGATTCAAAGCAGCAAATGGTGTAGCCTACTACATTTTGTTTTCTCCACATAACCGAATAAGATTTTCCAGCGAGCGGCACGTTTTCAGGCGCAAGATTTCGTTCAAATGAACCAGTAGTAGGCTAGTATTCGCTTAGTGACAACGTTTTTATTGTTACTTTTTGAAGAATGCTATACTGCGATATTTATATAATGCTACATAACACAATATCATAATACTATTTTGCCCAGATGCAAAGCAAGCATTTCAAACCACTTCGTTTCACTTATTATACTACCTCATAATAGGCTTAATAACGTACGCAAAACCTCCCAAAAAATAATAAAATGTGTGTAAAATGAATGCGCATCCTTCTTACCTTAATCCGCGATAAACGAGAACACAGAGACTGGCAGATCGTCTATAGTAGCTATAAGATGCCTGTCAGTCTTGAGAGAAGCAGAAGAATATGAAAAGAGCATCCAGCAGTCATGGCATAGGTTCGGCTCTTTGGGTCCCCAAATCTGCCTCCTCTAGCTGGGCTCAGAGCTGACAGACGCTCTCCGAGCAGGAATGAAAAATCCTGCTTTATTTTCCCTCTTTATAGCTGATGGAAAAAAAAATTGCTGATTATTAGCATAAATGTTTACTCCTCATTACGCTGATGACATTGTGCACTCGAGATCTTGGTAATCTTTGGGAAAATTATGAGTAATTTTTAAAAATTTAAAGCAGCAGTTACCATGCAATTCAGGCTAATTTTGCGTAGGCTCCAAGCGGATATAATTATCGCGGAGTCAAGATGTTATGCTAAAAACTATGCATTGATATTACCATTTATTATGTACATACAACTTTGACAATGTTGATGCTTGAAATAGCTGGAAATTGTCTTGCACAAAAATTACAGTCCATATTAGGACATCTAAAATTGCGAAGAATTATATAGTAATTGCAGGCTTTCAGATCGGGGAGCCAGAATGCTCAACTGGAGCAATTGTGGATAAAATTACAGATCAGAGTATAAATTAGGGATGGGGTATGGCATTTTTCAAGTTGTCTACAGGATTCCGGAAGTGTCTAAAACCACAGCATTGCTAATCTTTCAGAGAGAACGGCACGCAGAGCATGTGCTTGCAGACAGCTCCAATACAATTTCACATTCGTTTGCAGTTGCAAGGTGTGACACTTGTCCACGTTGAACCACCTGAGTTGAGAGACCTAATCAATGTTAACACCGACTATGGCCATTTATTTATTTAATTTGATTTTTTTGCCACCGAGACAGCAAATATAGCTACATGCTGACAGAAACGGCGCAAAACCCGTTGTTGCATGTGATTAAGCGTCTGGCATGCTCTGCGCTTGGAATATGGGTTAACATGATCTGGTTTGGAGGGCTGGTGCGCCACACTTGTTGTGATATTTCATTGTCCTTGATCGCGTTAAACCTTCCCAAGAACTTGTCTCAAGGGACGGACGGCGTGGGTAAACTGTTCTGCATTAACAGTGCGTTACTGAGGCGCTCTAAAGGAAGCCGAGCGCTATTGGCGTTCCCATTTTATTCCCGTTTCCTGTCGTGTTCATACCGTTGCACGGATAAAGTCTGGATCTTGTGGATCTCTGCGGGGCACATTTCAATACGGGCGTAGTCTTAGCCCGGTGCGACACACCATAACATCTTGTAATGTGGCAGTCACTGACAGGATACATCCTCATTACATGCGTCTGCTTTATAGCTTTTGAACCCTCAAATAAACAAGATTATTGTAACACGAAAAGCAACCCGTGTTACCATATTTACTTTCATTATTCCAAAAAGAACAACGGGATATTGCCAAGTGTAGGGCAAGCATTTCACTTTATATTTGAGAAGTAAACTAGCTGTGACATTTGTCATACATAATTAATAATAGGCCTGCACTGTAATAAATGCGTTCATGGTTATGTTATAATAACATTTGAAATAGCATCTTCGTTTTTCTACTTGATTTTACGAGTATTTTCTTCAACAGTAATTTAATTCAAAGTTTAAAAAAAAAAAAGTAAAAATCACTGTATGCTGTTGCTTTTGCAACACATTGATTTTACTCGAAATTTTATTTGAGTAATAAAACATTTAAGATTTAGTCGGTTGTGTGTTTGTTTGAAGTGACGCATTAAATGTGCATGCATCACTGCAGCAAAAGCTTCAGCATGTCGCATTACTCAAATTCCCCTGTACGGAATTCGGCATTGCATTTTCTACTAAGTTTCTAAACAAATAAACAAGTTTTCCTTTGTTTTATGGCGTGGAAAATTAAATGTAGGCTACACGGCAGCCGAGTCCCTATTACAAAGGCCTTGCATTGTGCGTGGGGTAGTGGAAGTTGTGAGAAATGATTCCATGTTGTTTAGCTCGGGGCGTTTGTGAGGCTGCCTTTTTGGCTGCGCTGACTTCATAAAACGTCTGGAGCGCAGAGCTCTGACTCCAGAGAGTCTGAACCCAGCCGAACGCCTTCATGCCGGGGCGTGTTTGCGCGCTCATTCCCAGCCCGAGGCGCTTCTGTCGGGCTCCCCGAGCCTTTGTCTATAAGTTTTATGTCTCCAAAAAATGCAAGGAAAGTCAGACCAACTGCCTATAGGGAATTAAAAAATATATATACCGTTCTCCTGCTATTTTCGCAACCCGAAAAATGTTGCGTAAACTCTCTAGACCTACTTATTGCGTTAGTCAACAAAAGGCAAATTTGTGAGTTTTGTGTGAAACATTTACAAGACGTTGCATCGCGTCTCCAGCCAGACTTATTAAAGGCTAGAGACTCAACTGGCGCCGAAACAAAAAAGGAAGGCGTGGACAGATCTGCGAAAATACATATATAAATAATACCCATGCCAACAATGAACTAAAGAGAGAAAAAACATTCATACATTCGAAATCCCCAATGAATGGATACATATAAAATGCATTCACATGAAAGGTTTTATTTAAATAAGTCTGAATAATTATAGTGGCAGAAATGTTCATTCGATTTTCAAAATAAATAACCAAAAACAAAGTACTCCAGAGAAAATACCCTTTTAAATGTGATCATGACTTTAGGACAATCAGTAGCTTGCGAGTGTTTTTCATTAGTGTTTTGTCCATATTATTTAAAACAGTGAGAACCCTATGTGATATCCTATACGAATGACAACATTATTAAATAGACGCGGTGGAACACACGTACAGAGACAGACACCATATTTACAACTTACCCTACGCACTAAATATAAAACGAACAAAAAGTCTAAAAAAAAAAAAAAATCAAAGACAGGCGCATGAAGGCGCATGAAACACATTTACGGTGGAAAAGGACAGTTAAGTTATTTTCAAAAGGCACCGAACAGCTTCAGGTTGTGCTACATGTGCTCTTATACACCCTGCTGCAATATTCACTCCATTAATGTCCACATGAGTTCTCTATGAGTTCACCCATAGAACAAAATAAATAAATACTAAAATAATTATAGCCTATATGTTTGATTCTTTAGTGTCTGCTTGTTGACGACATTGCATGAAAAGAAACAGTGTTGCGCCCAAAACGCGCTGGCAATGATCAACGTGGCAAAGGTGAAGAGGTCTCACCAATCATACAGGAAAACAGGCCTAAAAGTCATTTGATGCAAGTTCACATAATGAATTCCCCGTTTTTTGTTCTGAGTCTGTCGAGTCAAAATATGGTCCCGGCGCTGACGGTCGTGTTGTGGTGATGTGGCGGCTGTAGATGGCTCGCAGAGTTCGTGGATGAGTACCAGGTGTAGTTTGTCAGAAATGAAGGGGTAGTCGTGTTCGGCGGGCTGCTGCTCTGGGACAACCCCGTGTTCACAGTGCTCATTCTCTGGCTGTGCGCGAAGTCCCAGACCGCGCTGAGAGGCGGCGAATGGAGAGGTGGAGACTCGCTGGAGGCCACATGCAGCTCGGGCGGGATTTCCCCACTTTTCCACAACTTCTTGAACTTGGAACGACGATTCTGAAACCAGATTTTTATCTGAAAAAAAACAAAAACAATAACAACAACTCAGTATATGTCAAGCAGCATTATACACATAATGGAACAACACTGCTGAATCATGTTTTACAAAAAAAAATAAAAAATAAAAAATTGTTTTTATTATTTCCCCTGTGTATAATAATTCCAAATATATATATTTTTTACATTTTATAACAGTTTTGTTCACTATTTGCTATAAAGATTGTAAATAGTCTATTCTTCTTCTTCTTATTATTATTATTGAATCCCAATTTGGTTACGTCAGAAATGAATTAGCATTTTATTATATTAAACAAAATCATAATTAAAGCGTGTTTGTCGGCAGGTAATTTATGAAGTTGTAGAAAGCCTCTATGCATACCTGTGTTTGCGTGAGGCCCAGAGAAGCGGCTAGCTCAGCTCTCTCCGGCAAGGCCAGATACTGAGTCTTCTGAAACCTCCTCAGCAGGGCCGCCATCTGGAAACTCGAGTAAATAGTTCGAGGTTTTCTGACTTTCTTTGGCTTTCCATTAACCATTCGAATTGCAGGTTCACTTTCCTCTTTTTCTGGGAGAGAAAACAAACAAACGTGGTTGTATGAATTGTCTCACGAAAACGAATCTTTTAATGCAATGCAATAATAAAAAACAGTATTTCAGGTTTCAGATATTTTATACTGTTATTATTAATTACAATAGCATGCGCAATTAAAAGAATCTCATCAACATAATGATCTATGCATTGCAAGAAACGTTGTTCTTTACTATTGCTTACTTAACATTAGCATTTTAAGGTCAATGGTGACCACAAGTTACAACGCAAAGTGAGCAAGAGACAGATATTTACCAGCATCCGCAGGAGTTGGTGAGGAGCTGGGGCCGAACGTGCCGTAGGGGCCAAACGCGTTGCCGAAGCCCAGCTCACATGGTTTGGTGTTGTACTGGACGCTGTTCATGCTGTTGTTCTGGTACTGGTAAGAGCTGATCTGGCCGTATGGAGAGTCAGCGCATTGTCCGGCCTGCTGGTTATTGTTATAGTAGCTGCTGTCGGTAGCGGTGGAGACCGGAAGAGTCGGTGATTCCTGGGATTTGTGTAGACTGTGGTAACTGCTGGAGGTAATCTGGTTTGAATGCATATCTGTACTGAGGCTGTCAAAAACTCCAGTCATGTTTTTCAAAGCTCAAAAATACTTACATGCAAGTCCAACGAATGAGCAAACCCGCAAACCCATAAAAGCTCTTCTAAAGCGCAAAACGAAATACGGTGTCTGAGTTATGTCGCATTCCACTTTGGAAGCATCCAAACGCAGACGCGACGTAAAGCAGAACTGTGATTGTCTGTCAGCAGAGATGAGGGAGGACGGACATTTATCGCGCGTCACGGGGGAGGATGAACTTGTGCGCGTGAAGCAGCCAATGAATGCAGGATCCACACAGCTCACACACGCATGCATGCTCATGAAATGTGTGCATTCTGCACGGTGATGGTTAACTACTCTGTGCTACATGAAAACACACTTTGTAGCTTTTTCTTTAATTATACTGACAAACATTTTTACACATAATGCTTGACATGTGATTAAATTAAAACCGTCATGAAACGTGATTCATACTTCACGCAGCCTATAGGTCTATATTCTGAATACTGAACAGGCTTCTTCTGTAAAATAGTATAACTGTTGTTTTATTTTTAAACGCTTTAACCAACACGCACAGTTGGCTGCGTTATAATAACGCTTCAGATAGGCTACCTTTAACGCGCAAAACCAGGTAACTGCTGGAAAGCAAATACAATGGAAGTGCACATTTTGCAGTGTTTCTTCTTAAAATAGAGAGATTATTTCAACCTAGGAATTAGACTTTTGACTTCAGCTTTGTTTAGGTCTTAGACAACACTAAGGAACTGCTCGTTTCTGCATGGTATGTATGGCATCCTGACCTGCTGCGACACCTGTCGGTGAAAATACCACATTTTTTCTGTGTTTACTGCTGTTGTCCTGTTAAACCTCATTCTAAAAATAAAGTATCTCATCAGTTTGCTCAAATGCTTTTGACATTGATTGAGAGAATCTGGCTAAATAAAGTGTCCAGCTAATGTAGAAAGTAGCAGAATAATATATCGACGGTGAAATAAAGGCAGTCCATTGTGTAGGCTACCTTACCCTCCAGTTTATAAGGTTAACCTGCTGGCAGCATCTATGAGTTTACCGAATTCGTTGGTTTCATTATTTCACTCACTCACTCACTCACTCACTCACTCACTCACTCACTCACTCACTCACTCACTCACTCACTCACTCACTCACTCACTCACTCACTCACTCACTCACTCACTCACTCACTCACTCACTCACTCACTCACTCAACTCACTCACTCACTCACTCACACACTCTCTCACACTCACACACACACAATCTCTGTTGAGTCTCTGAAGAGAATTGGACTAATTTTTCTCATTCACACGGCCGTCGATCAGCTCTTAGGCTCTCAAATTGAAAATGGTGCTGAAAAGGTGGAGACTGCGGCTCGGGCCGCTGCCAAAACTCCTGGTGTGTAGTATTTCATGACTTCAGCACTATTCGGACAGGATTTCTCAGGGTGGGGTCAGTCACATGACCGTAATGCAGATGTGACGTTCAGGAATCAACATTACGCATTTCTGACATTATAATTACCTTTTTCAGCAAGAGAGATTTAAAAATGGAAAAAGACAATAAATCAACATTTGTTTTGATGTGTAGATATCAAGATGAGATCAGGCAAAAGTATTTACTCTCAATCGGTCACAAAAAAAAATAACAAAAAAGAAAAATAAATAAAATATATATTATCAGCGCTGGACCTTTTTAAATGTTTACTATAAGCACATAGTCAGTGTTTTGCGTAAGTGTGAGGGTGTGTGTGTGTGTGTGCGAGTGCGAGTGCGCGTGCGTGTGTGAGAGAGTCGCCTTTTCCAAACACTGTATCTAGCTGTTTGAAAACCCTCGTAGAGCAGGAGTAGAAATTCATGATTACGTTTTAATTAAATGAAATTAATGAGATGCTTATTAATTAATACAATTTTAATAATTTAGTTACTGACTGATTTGTGTGGGTAACCAAATAAAAAGCTGCACAAATAACCTAAACTGTAGCATTATTGTTGCGTAAACTGTATAAATTTAACTCAGATGAAATAGAGATGTTATAGGCTATGCGGGAATTGTCTAATGTGCCTTGCATTCTGGTAAAAAAATAAAAATCCCTATATGGGGAAAATATATTTGCAAATATCGGCTCGGCAAGACTCCCCACGCCATCTTCATCCTCTTCTCTGACTCTCTCCCGCAGCGCACTGTTGTGTAGCATTTCTGTCACGTTATCACTTTAGGAAGGAAAGAGCAGGGCTGTGAGGGCACAGCTCGATTGGTGAATGTCCCTGAAGGGCAGCTTCCACTTCCCGAGGCCATTGTGCTCTCCGCAGTACAGGCAACACGCTGAAACTAGCTATTGGTCAACTAAATATCTTTATTTGCAGGGTCACTCAAGGCCTCAGACTGTGTAATATGAATTTCTGAAAATACAATTTTTAACAGCGAACGAAGCATTGTGTACGTATAAGTGTTCGTGTAAATGTAATACATTGTTCTGCATAAAATAATCAAAAATTATATTTAATTGCGCAGGTTTAATACATTCCAACTATAGGTCAAGTAAAACTTCGGCTACGTTACTTTGAATCATATGCCATTAATTTTACACAAGTAATTTATATAGCACATTTCATACACACTGAATAGTTATTGAATGAGCCTTTCGTATCAAACAATAACATAAAAAGAAAAAAAAAGAAAATAAGTAAAATAATAAGTAAATAAAAAAGTATAAATAAAATGACAAATGGAAAATCAAATAATGTGTCCAATAATCAGTAGAAAATGGTCTCTTTTATATTTTCCCAGATTTCATAATTTATAATCTTATATGCAGTTATATAGGCAAATCAGTAGAAAATGGTCTCTTTTATATTTTCCCAGATTTCATAATTTATAATCTTATATGCAGTTATATAGGCTAAATACCTTTTTACCGTTATATATCCACAGCAACAGATCAAAGTCTGAATTATATTTGAAAGTCGATGTGAGAGGCTACTACTACACTCTAAAAAATGCTGGGTTAAATACAACCCAGTGCTGGGTAAAATAGGGACAAACCCAGCAATTGGGCTGTTTTGACCT